ATACTTTGCTCAATCTTAATCCACATAAATACATGCATGATAGTGAACATTTATCACAAGGTTAGATCAGTTTATCTTATAATTCTATTGAATTGTTCTTAAAACCAAGATATTACTTAGTCGAGGTTGACGCTGAAAATAGGCAGAAACTAAACAATACTAAGGATTAAAACAGTAAGGATCTAATTATTGTCCACAGAGTTGTCTTTACTAGTAAAGAAACCTGATATTGCCTCAGCAATTGTGTAACAAGTCATTACAAACAAGAAACGGTACGGTGCTATATCTGTTATCGAACATCTTTGTATGAAGTTGCACTATGGCAGGTTGCTTTAGGAGTATGCAAATGATATGAGTTTCTACTGCCGACAACTATTCTAATGTCGCATCGAGTATTTAGCACAAATTACAAGACGTAGCCATGGGATATCAAGCAGAGTGCACAATAATTCTTTCGGAAAGCCTTTGTAGACCTCTGCAAGTGTTGTGTGGAATAAAATATCTGGCACTACATCTATGTACAAATGATAAAACAAAGTCAACCGATCCAAACCAGTTCAAGAGAAGAAAATAAAACACCATAAAACTTCGATAGTGATTTGATTAGAAGAAACACCTCATTATCTAGTGCTCAAGAACCTGATTAAACGGACATCGGAGTAAACATGTGACACGAAATTCGTTACGATAAATACTTGGGTCTTTGATGAAGGGGACTACCAACATTCGGTAAAATGTCTCGCTTGTTGATAATATCGTTTCATGAAGGGTATCTCTTGCAACGCGAACTCGATGGTCCCAGTGAGTAGATAGAAAAATATACTTCACCTTGAGGTACATCCTACCCCTGCCTTCCCTGATCTTGTGATCAGGTCAGTCATGAATGCCTTGCCAATAGGCCTACGCATTTGACCCCCGATAATCAGTAGATGAAAGTAGCATCTATAATTGGTCAAGGTAATTTGTGTATTGTATTGTGATAAGCAATGTCCAGTTGATGTTAACTCTTGAAGATACTGCACTTCTTGAAATATGTAACGGGTTTGTGTCGACAGAATCTATCGGTTTATCCATGAACCATCAATGTTTTTCTTCTATAAAACTATTCGAGGTATAAACAGCCGAGTCACATGGTTGTAAAACTTCTGGAAGTGACTTAATGCTTTCAAGTCAAATTTACAGTTTTCATCTGAGGACGAATGACTGACTGCCCTTATATCTACTTTTTATATAGTAGAATGGGCCACTGCATCTGTTTGGTATAACAACAGACAGTCGGTCATCATTTGCAGCTGTTCTTACTTGACTTCTACATATCCCTCCTAACCAGTGGTTAGTGTTATTATGTTTCATAGATAAGTCTTTCAGTCTCTGATACAATCTTCGCCGAATATTTGCAAGGTTTTCAAAGCTATAACCAGTTACTATATTGACACTCTAACGAGATCAGTAAAATTCGTTCCTTAAAGTTGCCACATCGACTCAAACTATTAAAGTCAATTAGAATATTGATAGCATAATAATGAAAACCTGTTTAATTGATGTAAATATTTTCACAAAATACTTTGAACTTGTCATCATCTGTTCTATTAAAACATCGTATTGAGGTGATTTACTAAACTACCACAACCTTATTTTCGACAACTGAATGGAATATTATTAATCACACTAGACTCTGTAATCCTCAATTATGTATGGGCGATAAATACAGTTTAATATGAGATCTCATTCGAGAATCGACGTTTAAAGCCGCATAGCTGTTATTTTGTAACAGGTCCAAATCAAACAACCGCCTACCTGCAAAGTTCCACAGAGAGAATATTAGTCGTCTGCAAATTATTGATATCAAAGTGCAGGTTATTAAGGTCGGCTCTTCAAAACACTGACTGTTATTGTTAAAACGCGTAAAGAGTTAAGATGCGGATGAGCTCTTTTTGAAGTTAATCGAAGTTAATGGTCAATGATGAGACTGCTTCGACTCTCCATCCTTTTATTCACATCTGAACAGACGAGTATTTTCGCGAGTGTTGCACGTAATTATCAAAAATGGTGCTCTTCTAAATGTACAGAGAGTGAGAGTATTTATAGAATGAACTAATTCGAGATTACAACATCAGAATTATTCAATAGAATGATGATGTTATTACTCTAATTTTCTTGATTCGGTTGGTAAATCGATACTAATTCCACCATGCACAACGAGGGAAACGTACTACAGTGAAAAACTGCATAGGAAGCCAAACACAAGCAAACTTTACTAGCTTACCAATGATAATTAGCTTATAATTACACAAAATACTGATGCAATATGAAAATACCAACTGCCGTAAAGTTTAAACGCAACCAAGCTGAAATTTGTTTGAGTGCCATATGATAACATAATGTAGTGTTAGTACTAGGCTCTAAACAAGTTTATTCAGGTCAATCACTAGATTATATACTAATTAGTAAGAAATGTAATGTAATGTAGAAAGAAATGCAATTTTGACCTCGTATATTATGGAAAATGTTCATTGCTAAAACTCGGAATAATATATACAATAATTTTTATTAAGTCTGAGAACTGTAATGTTTGTTACAAAGTAGACATATAAAGTGAACCATAAATTTCCTTGTTCTTAACTTTTTTTATTAAAATTTACATGTTTATTGTAGGATTTCTCCAGAAAACGATTTGTTTTGAACTAAAATTAGCTCTGAATAATGTCAAAATCTGTTAGTAGTAAACGTAAAACGAAAGGAAAGAAAACTAAAGCAAAGGACCCTGTGAATGAGGTATTAGAAAAAACACAGGAAGACGTAAAAAACTTGCGGGAAGAAGTAAGCAGAAAAATATTTATCGCAGAAAATGCAGAAAATCGTCGCTATCAAGCATATACTGAGAAATTGGAGTCTGTAAGAAATTATAATGAATTGAAAAAGTCAACACAAAACCATACTGCTTTCCTAATCACAGAAAATGAAATAAAAGTAACCAATCTTCGAGATGAAATAGAAAAATTAACCACAAAACTAGATGAGGCCAATAAGTTAATTGAGATAAGAAATAATGAACTGAAAAATTTACGTCAAGAATTCCTAAATTGTAAGGCAGAAAAAGATTCGAAAATCAGCACATTAGAACAAAAATTAAAAGAACAAGCTGCATTATTTCGTGACGTTATGTCACAAGCGTTCAATCAACTAATTGAACAACTAAGTATCGACTATGAAAATGTTCATAATAACTACAAAATATTTTCTCAGCCTACAAATGACCTAATAGAATTGGAGTTTTTAAATCCACCGTTTTTAGATGAAGAATCTGTTGAATATATATAATTACCTATCTAAATATATACAGTGATGTAGGAATTTTCTCAACATATTCACAAGGATATTTTCTAATTAGCATTTGTGAATAATTTATGTAAAAATAATTCCTGTATAAAAAAGAAGCCACAATTCTGTTACGACAGTTATTTATTCTTTAATAAGACCCGTAAAAGGGAGGAATTGTATGAAACATAACTGCACTGTTTTGATAGATGTTAAACTATTTTCAATAGCAAAATATCTTTGCTAATTAATTCTTGAAAAAACAACTAGTCTGTGAAGTTGTTATTGGAAAAAATGCAACTCATCCAGAAATAACTGACTTTTTATATCAAACTAATAGCGGTACTAACCAGTGATTTAGCCTTTTATATTATTGGAAGATACATTTTCACAAGTAAAGAAATAAAGTGTGAGAATATTTAACCAAGAGGTAAGGATGCACAATCATGAAACCACTATTCCGAAATATGATGGAGCCTTTACAGTTAACGATGTTGTTGAGATACCAATCTCAACTGGAACGAAGTGCAGATGAACTGTTTTTAAAAAACAGCAACTTAAAAAAGCAGATTACCTCAGGTAACCGCACTAACCATAAAAGATCTGTTGTACATAAAACTCGATGGTGTCAAGTGTTTTTGGCAGATAAGAGGCCATGAAAACCGTTACCGTTTCTAAACCATTAAGTAAAGATAGTCCAGATAGAATAGGGGGATATACTGTGATTTTTATACAATGTACCAAAATAACAGTGTAGTTAGGTCAATTTACAAAATATACTTTTATATCTTACTGATGACATTCTATAAGTACCTTTGAGGGAAGTGTGTGGACATTTGTCACTTGAAGATCGATCTGATGACATTGGGTATGTAAAACCTTACTAACCGTAAGTGACAATATAGGAACTTATGTCATAGCAACTATTGGGAAGGCAACAAACCAAGTGAAGCGGAAGATAGTCTATTGAAAGCATTATAACCTCCAAAAATTGGGTGCTCAGCAACAGTTATTTATTCTTCAATTATGCATGTTAACGTAAGAATACATCGTTAACAATCATCGTTAGATACCAAACACGTCCCATCGCGTCTTCTTGTCCCTTACTAAACGTAGAGATATAATCATAAAAGCTCTCGTAAGCAAGCGTAAAGATTAGAATTTCAAGAGATGGATGAAAATTAATCTCAGTGTAAACATAAGATTAGTTGATCCCGCCAATATAAACATAAGCGTGGTTGTAAGAGATTGAACACTGTTGAGGTAAGTCCTAATTTCGACCTGAATCCAGATACCGTCGTTCTATGTTATCCCGCAATTCCCAGAGAATTAAATTCAATTGGTTTATTTTGTGTCAGGTAGAGTAAAATTAAGAGCCGATTACAAATGTTAGTAGAACAGCGTATTCCAAACAACTAATGAAAGTAAAGAGGAACACAATAGCGAACCACTTAAAACAGGCATGAACTAAGTCAATATTCAATGGACAAATAAACTTAATGAAGGTGTATATTCATCAAGGGTTAGATTCAAATGTTTACAGAAACAGAAAATAAGGCAATGCGAACGCAAGTGTAGTTATTTTAAGCTTATGAAACCCACTCTAAAATACGTGCTTCATACTTAAAAAGCAGTTTTAAATGACACTATCTGTTACACCTACTCATCTATAAAAAATAAAAGCGAAAGAAATAATTTTTTTTAATAGACACTCAATTTATAATACAATTATAAATTAAAGCATTACATGAGCTACGCTTACTTACTGTTATACATATAACATTAAAAACGATTTTTTAAGATATGGAAACGGAAAAATTACGCATGTTAAAGAAGCTGATAAATAAACATTTATTCACAAGTACAAATATGTGTATCAATAATAGTACCTGTACAGTGAAAATTAATTAAGTCATAGACTTCGTCATTTCACATTTGCACATAGATCCTCTTCGCTATATTGATTGTACCGATTACGAATCTAAATGAGTGTGAATGAATAAACATTTTAATAATTCACTCACGAAAGCGACTGTTACATTATTACAATAGGGGATTTTGTTATGGGTACAATAAACTTAAGTAATCAAATACATGTATTAAATACTTTAGGTTATGCACTACGTCTGTAAGGATGAAAGTACGTTAATTTAGTTCTGTCTTCAATAAAGGCGACGCAAAGTAATGAACTATAATGCATAATAGATTTCATAAAGTTTCATATAAGTAACAGTTATGTAGTACAAAAATAACCAGTAACATTATACAAACTTCAACATTGATGAGCCGGCGAATAAGTAGCTGAACACTAGACTAGAAATGATGTCCCATACATCAAATCATTATTGTACTAAAATCTTAGGAGGAAGCACAGAATCTGACGGAAATTTCAACCGAGTTTTTCTGTATACTTACGTGTTCCACTTGTTGGTGTAGAATATCCAAATAGTAAACTAATTGTATGGCAAAGTCTTCTAAAACGTTTTAAGCAACAAGGCTAGTATGTTTGGGACATGTTGTTTGCCCTCTAAATGACTTCTGCTCCACGACTGGTTGGCGTCGAAGTTTAAACTAATGATAAGAAGTAAAGTGGTTGAATGTACTTATCGCTTCGCTTATCCTGTAAATCTTAATATTCCTGAGTGAGTTGATGTATTTTAACGAATAATTTAAGAAAACTATTAAGCATTTGACTAAGATGTCTGTTATCAGGCTTAAGCTCATGTTCAGATAATACAATAACGCACATTCAGCTAAATTACGCAGTCACAAATAGTTAGTTTACTTACATCAAAATAAAATGTATCTGTTGAATTATCAGGATCAGGAATGAAAGGCATTTCTAAATCATGTAAATTATTCCAATCACCAACAGGTATTAACAAATCACTTGACTTTATTTGACTTGCAACTTGAAGTCTGTCTGTTTGATTATAGGATAAGAGGCCACTAATTAAGTTTACAGCTGCTTGTGAAAGTTCACAGTTTTTTTGTGGTGATTCATTTATGTTAAAAGATGATCCGCATGTAGTAGCAACAGGCCAGTGTATATCTGTGAACAAACCATAAAATTGATAACAGTGAAAAACAATATTAAAAAGACTAGAAATATTGGCACACGGACGCAAGCAACATGCAGGATATCACTACTTCCGTAAATAGACCAAAACACTTAATGCTTCAAAAACAACTCAGTAATTGGATCGATATATTTAGCTTTCGGTTACACGTTTTCTGTGGGGACTATTGACACTTGTAGCTATCAAAACAAAGATAAGTAGGGTAGAGTCCGAGCATACAGCTTAACAACTGAAAGTTAAGTGCCTAGGTTATTAAATTACGCCTTTACACGATCTACTAATCGATATTCCTACCGAACGTAGAAAGAAACCACCTTAATCCTCAATAGTTAGACGCGATAACTTGGAAAAGGATAAAACAACACCATAATACGGACAGTAAACTGGTGAAAGATGCTAATTGTAGATAACCGACAGTAGATTTATGATTATTTGTAGGGGTGAAATTCTACTCACTTTTTATTTCGATATTGTAGTGACTGATAGTTTCTTCTACTCATTTCATAATTCACCTGATCTGACAATCTCACACACAATATAATAGAATTATTCATCAATTTTAGTAAGATTATTAAATACAGTCTAGTAATAAATGATATTAGTCATATTTATTTCATGGAAGTCCCGACCGTAGCTGTTAGGTATAGCATTCTCAATCCAGGAGATTGGATCGAAGGGCAGAACACTTTAGGGATCAGTTCAACTGGCCTTCAGCCACACTTCGGTTTCCCACGATCTCCAGTCAATCTGAATGGAAAGTTGATGTAGGTCCTTCGACTCTTTACGAAGTTGAAAAAGCTATAGGAAATCTGGAGCGAGGGAGAGCAGCAGGCCCTGACAGGTTTACTTCTAAGATTTTTAAGGGTGGTGGTCCAGTATTAGCAGTGAGATTAACTGAGGTCTTAAGTAGAATTTGGGAAGTGGAAGTAATCCCATCTGACTGGTCTCAATCACTGATAGTGCCAGTTCTTAAGAAAGGACAAAAGTCCTCTTGTGACAATCACAGAGGAATCAGTTTGACTAATATAGTGTCTAAAATATTAGCCTCAATAATACTTCGACGCCTAACTAAAGCTCGTGAAGAGCAGACTAGAGAAAATCAGGCTGGTTTCGACCTGGACATGATTGTATAGACCAGATATTCACACTACGTCAGGTTCTAGAACACAGACACACATTCGGACTCCCCATAATCGTAGTATTTCTCGACCTTAAGGAGGCATTTCACTCTGTTGATCGTGAGGTTCTATGGCAGTGTTTGTCACTGAAAGGAGTACTAAGGAAGTACATTAACCTTGTAAAGGCTCTCTACTCGAACACAACTGGTCGAGTGAGAGCTTATGGCGAACTGTCATCAGAATTGATTACCTCAAGTGGTGTTCGTCAGGGCTGTCCACTCTATCCATTCTTGTTTAACTTTGTCGTTGACGTGCTTTTACAGATAACACTCTACTCATCTAAATTTCCAGGGGTTGAACTTCTACCGGGAGATTCACTTTTGACCTACAATATACCGATGACATAGTTCTATTTGGTGAAGACGCTGACGAAATACACAGTCTTCTGACCACTATAAGCAACAATGCAAGCATGTTCGGCATGCGATTCTCTCCCTCGACATGCAAAATGTTACTTCAGGATTGGGTTGCATCGACACTTGAACTAATGATAGGGAGTGAAGTAGTTGAGCGTGTCGACCGCTTCACTTATCTTGGAAGTCTCATCAGCCCTTGTGGTCTGGTGTGTGACGAAATCTCAGCACGGATACAGAAGACTCGACTAGCTTTTGCCAACTTGCGTCATTTTTGGCGTAGGCGGGATATCCGTCTATCAACCAAAGGACGTGTTTACTGTGCAGCAGTTCGCTCCGTCCTACTTTATGACAGTGAAACATGGCCAGTAAGACAGAGGATATTCATAGGTTACTAGTGTTCGATCATAGGTGTCATCGAAACATTGCTCGTATATCGTGGGACCATCGAGTAAGTAACGCAGTTGTTAGGAAACGGGTACTAGGTAAGGATGGCAAATCAATTGATGAAGTAATGAAACTTCATCAGTTGAGATGGCTGGGACACGTGTTACGTATGCCCAACGACCGACTGCCTCGACGTGCGATGTTCAATGGTATAGGAGTAGGTTGAAAGAAAGCTAGGAGCGGCAAGCCCAAAACATGGCATAGGTCCATGAAGTCACTGACAACTGGACTGAGCCATGTTGGTAGGTGTAGACAACCTGGTTGGGGACCGCGAGATGTTAGCAACCGATAGTTAGAGACTTTGAATGACATGGCTCAAAATGGTTTACGATGGCACAGGTGCATCCACTCTTTGTGTTCTCCCAAATTCTAATCTTCTGAATTCTTCATGTCCCTTTTTTATCTTTCCAAATTTATTTCACTGGATTATACTCCTTGAATAACATCTTTAAACCCTAATCTTTCCGATTACTGCTTATACTGTTACCACCCCTACCACTACGGGATTTGAATGGACAGCTGCATCTCTGTGCTAATGCGGTGTGGCAACTCGAACTGATGTACGTACGTACGAAGTTCTACGTTGTTACTGACCGACTGATTTCATGGAAGTATAATTATCCTGATGAGGAAGTATCGTTTACTGTATATAATTAAATTCTAAATCTCTATTCTTTGAGTATTGGTTCCTTTAATTCTTCAGTTTTGATAGTAGTAGAATCTGACATTAATCACTTATATCATATGATTAAATGTAATGCGTATTGTACAGTAACTATCTGGTCAACTCTAGAGACCACAGATGCCTTAGAGATATTGCTGGCGTCTGCTGGGATCACCGGGTAAGTAATAGTGAGGTTAGACGCAGGGTATTAGGAAATGATGGTAAATCAGTAGATGAGGTTGTTAATCTTCATCGACTGAGATGGTTGGGCCACGTGTTACGTATGCCCGAACACCGATTACCACAACGTGCAATGCTAAAAGGTGTTGGAGATAGTTGGAAGAGAATTAGGGGCGGTCAAACCAAAACGTGGCATCAGTGCTTGAAGTCACTAACTTCTAGTCTGAGTCATGTTGGTAGATGCAGACTACTTGGTTGGTGTCCGCGTGACTTTCGTAACCAATGGTTTGAGACTCTTGGTGACATGGCTCAGAATCGATCACAATGGCGTAGGTGTATACACTTCCTGTCTTCCCTTCAACTAAGAGATTAAAATCACTTCATATCTTTCTTTCTATTAACCAATTCTTTCTTCTTGTACTATATTCTTATATGCAATCTTTCTCCTATATATTACCACCTTTGACCTAACCACTCCTACGAGTCCGGTGTTCATCTTGCTGTGCTAATGATGTATGGCAACCTAGACCGATGCATATATGTGCCTCGTCCTACGTTGTAGCTGACTGACCGACTGACAACTATAGAGACTCCAGTAATCAATTCAAAAAGCTAAATATCAAAAATTATTTGACCATCGCGTATGCTATTAAAAAATTGGTGTAGGAAAATGATCAGAATGAACCTTATCGCTAATAACGGAAATTTATAGGACATTCATGTAGATATAACATGTTCAACATCCTAATTTATTTAGCACATATCAAACCAATTCAGTCAAAACTGTATCTACGTACTGCAGTGGCAGCCTATCGGTCGATGCAATCGGGTTTTGACCAATACAGTTACAGGTTAAACCCTGTTCCACTTAGTCTGGTTTGGGCAGCCGGATAGTATCACTTATATGACTCGAAGGTCACTAAATTAATAAATACTTCACAACTTTATTTATTATTAAACAAAATACTAAGGATTTTTGCATAAAAATAAGAAATAAAAACCTGCTAATCAAAACCACTGCTGAAACATACCTAAACTTAGAATATTGTGAAACACATTTTCTACAGTTTCATCTGCAAATGGAGTTACACCAACTAACATTTCAAATAATATAACACCTAAAGCCCACCAATCGACAGCTGGACTATCGCATGCACTTTTAGAATTAGGATGAAGTAATAATTCTGGTGCCAAATATTCCGGAGTACCTAACAAGTGACTAGATAAGCTCTCTAGATTTGATATATTTTCAAGTGATTCTGTAGTAACTTGGAGTGGATTAATTGCTGGTGTACTATTCAACGAAGTGATCAGTTTCTTGTCGAACCGCTGACGTTTACAAGTTGAATTTATATGCATGGAACATAAAGGACTAGAATAAAGCAATGTTTGAGCAGGAAGATTACTTTCTGATTCGATTGGGTGGAAATTCCGAGTTAAATGTTTGCTATTTTTCTAAAACAAAGTTTTAATTTTATTAAATCAGATAAGAAAAATGGTTTCAAACAAATAACAAAATTACCGATCAAAAACATAACATTGGAATATGCCTTCCTGGTAAGTGATCAATACATAATAGTTAAGATCCCAAAAAATTCGTTAAACTACTTCACAGTACAATAAAAAAGATGGACTAAAATAACCTGAAATAGTAATTAAACAACTTAATATGTGTTCTATCAACTTAGTATTACTTCATTTATATTACCTTTAAGAGTTATGTAAAATCTATCCCGATTTAGTCTTCAAAGAAGGTGTTCATTGTTTGTTTGTCGTTTATGTTGATGAATTGTCAACATCTTCAATACGTAAACTAACCAACCCTTTATCCACTAGAGATTATGAACTTAGATAATAACCCATATATTATAGAGGGAATGTACGGGATTGACACAAAAATAAATGTAGATAATTTTTATAAATTATAAACAGATGCAGGAGAACTTTTGGAAATGGTTTGACTTTCATGGTATTTTAGAACACTAAAAATGTACCGAACGACAACCATCATGGTGGTCTACTGCTGCAATAGTACACAAAATATAAATCATTCAAAATACAGATTATAGATGTTACCCCAATGACTGGAAACCACAACTATAAAGATAACTAATTTGCCTTAATTCTCTAAAAATATCAACCTTTTTTTATTTTAAAACAACCTACTCTATGACCCTACAGATGACGTAAAAACTTTTACAAAGTGATGAATTGAGGAATGATTTGATTCATTAAGTGTATGAATCACGTGTAGAAAGTAATTTTCGGGAATTTTGAATGCTAGTGATGAAAAAAACAATTTAAGTTGAACTGAGGTAGTTGGAAACCAACCTCTCCACAAATTTAACGAACCAATCTTTAGTTGAACATGGAACACAAGATGAATACAATGTGCACATTAGGAACAATCAATGGGCAGTATAACTTTGCTTTAGTGAAATTTTCTTAGGTCATAGTAATTACAACCTGATTATTCGAAAATAATATATGGTTAGCTTTCAATTCCCTAGATAACGAAGGGATGATAACAAGGAACCAATTTTTATTTTACAGAAAGTTAAAACAACCACTTAACAATTTAAAATCCACTTCCTATTCTCATAGTTTAAATAAATCTTTCGATACATTACGCAACAATATTATGGGACTATCACAAAGACTACATAAAGAATCACTTAGATTTTCATTGCAATTTTAGTGATATTTGGGGGAAAATTCCGTCCTTAATAATTTGATGCTACTATCTTGAAAGAACTAAATTTATTAGTTCACATATGCCATTGAAGAGAAGGCTGGAAATACAACCAGCTCATTATATTTTGCAAACATTGTCATTCATACTTTGCTTAAATTAAATTTTCAAAATGTAAAACAGGAAACAATGTGGAGCTTTAATTGAGATCATGAACCGATCAATGTTAGACTACAAATGAGAACCTGGAATCACTGGACGGCCATTTAGGCCTAGTATAGGACTCTTCAGCACTGCATTCACGATCCCGCACACGGGATTCGAACGAGAAACCTTCATTCTCACGCTCAAGGGCTTAACCTCTAGGGCTCTGAGCCGGTATCCAACGGTGTTAATGTCTAACCTCAACCGAACCACAATACATTCTTATCGAAATTCGAGCCAAACTAAATAAACGAAAGATACTCACTTTAACTATAGAAGCAGGAGAATGATGAGGAAATTTTAAAGGTGTATTAAGTAACACTGGAGAAGTTATACAGTCATCCATAGATGGATTCGAGAGATCAATATCATTTAATAAATAATCGCCTAAAGAAAATGAAATAAAGGTGAGAAATGTTAAAAATTATATAACTTTTAAGAGTGAATACTCATCAATATTCATAGGTCGAAATCTGAAAGCGCGAACGACGAAGGAATATCCACAATAAACTTTTGAGAACTGTGTTCGCCTGTCTGAAATTCAGTCATCAATAAGTTTAAGACAAGCTAACATGCATTTGTCAGTTTACGTGCTTCTGTGATATAAAGTACATATAGCGTACGATTTGTTTGCTCACAAAACGCACTTGCCAATACTATCATGCATGACTGACTTGAAATGAACGAAAAAAACGAAAAGCAGCTCTATTACAGACTACTCTGACCGCGAAGAATGCAAATAACTTAATTATAATATCATTTTAGTCTTTAATCATTTAAACATATTTGTCTTTTTAATGCAAAGAATCAGCCTATAAACTTATTCCTAGCAAATAATGAACTTTTGCCCCTAACAGAAGACTACTGATACTCTAGAAACAGTTCCAAAGACTGGAAGTGGTAGTGGTATGTATCAATCACTTGTAGAAAGACCTTTCGATCCTTAGTATTCAAATGACATAGTCTTCTAGTGAAATGAGACATAAGCAATCTAAACTGCACCTAATCAGAAACCGTAACCGTAGCACGTATTCTAAGCCTTCGAAATGTAAAGCGCTTCTCCAAGACTTACAGAAACTTGTGCCCGCACTTTCTCATTTGTAGTGAACCGTTAGAAGCAGTTGGAAAGTTTGTTTATACAGATAGCTGTGTGAGTGCTGGTGGTGGTATTACAGATGAAGTTAATTTACGTATAATGAAAGCCAATACGAGCCATCTTTAGAGTCGTTATGATGTCAGTTTGGTTGTAAATGGTCGGGTTTATGACGGATCAGTGAGAGTAATTTTCCCCTATGCTTTCAAAACTTGGTCTCGTCAATTTGATGATGTTCAATGCCTCTATGTTTGATCATCATTGTCTCCAAAGAATTCCTAACATACAGTGACGATACTGTTGGTAATACTAAAGTGTATCACCATCTTCAAACACCGACAATGTTGAATTGGTCATGGTTTACGAACGTCATCCTAGAACTTACGACATTCAGTGATTACGTCGAATAGCCAAAACTCCTTTTTTTTCTTTAAACGGAACTCAACAGTGATTAAACACAAAACAATAAATATTTACACATGATTACTTTATGTCATACAACAATATAATTTAACGGTTATGGAGAATAATCACATTTTCACTACTATATGCTTAAAAACTAAGATAATTCATATTTTTTACAACCGAAAAAATTTCGTGATTGTACACACAGAAAACTAATAGTAAAAAAGATGTAATAGACCAAATAAACGAAAAGATAAACGTACCACTTATACCTAAACAGTGGGATAACGGTGAATGACGGAACAGGCTCAATCTGGCTTTTTCAACTGGAGACAATATATTTTCCGTCGAATTATTTCGCCTGGAAGATGAATGATGGAAAACCAAATCAGGGAATCGGTTAGTGACCGAATAAAGTGTTATGTACTGTTAAACGAATTTCAAACATGGTTATTACACAACTTGTTGAGGAAAACAGGACAATGTCTCCTACAAAGGATTTTTTGCCTAGCAAATACAGTAGAAAATCATAACATGAAATAAACATTCATGAGACGCGTGAATAATACTAGACGACCGTATATACACTTCTATACTAAGCTTATCAAGCGGGTAGTTACATATCAAGAATACCCTTTAATTTGTTTTCGAAATTTTTCTTATTGTCGATTCGTAAGATTACCGTGCAATTATTAGCCTCGAATTCTTGTCGCTTTACCCTTTGCAACCTACAGTTTTAGTCCATCAGCGTAATATATATATATATATATATATATATATATATATATATACAGCCGTTCCACCTTTTTTTCTGAAAGGTACAAGTTCATCTGAGACGTTAGTTGCAGATTGCAACTTGTTAATGTTTAGGTGAGCAGACATCGATTTAATTACGTTCCGGTGAACACGATCATCTCTTCATTCGTGTGTAGCGATTATCCGTCACGCTGTCATGTTTATCAAAATCCTACTTTATTACCTGAAAACTCAGAAAGACACTTCCGTATGTGTAAATTATTCACATATAAATCAACACTAGCTAAAATAAACACGTAGAAATAAAACAAGCACTCACTTTAAATCATTTCTATCAGTCAGATTACATGGAGAGGAGTTCAAAATCAAATCCTGAATATCTCTATTTAAAGAAGAAATTTCCAAACACGAAGCTGTATTTTTAAGCATTTTTTCCACATTCTGACATTCCTGATTGTGATATGATGGCTTCAAAATTACTGATGTTTTTGATTTGTCAATTGCTAAACTATGAGTAGCAGATAAGTCAGAAGTTGGTCCATTTTTCGGAAGTGGATTGTAGTTATGACGTTGACGGTGACATAATTTATAGCCAGTTCTAAGAGAATCAACTCGACTGGAGTAAGACGTCTGTTATGATTGAATATTATGTTAAATAGTAAGCAATTAGGAGTATATTTAAAAATATGATAGGTTGTACTAAAAACCTAAACAATATAATCGATTTTAATGAGAAGGGAGTGAAGCAGAATTTATATATAAAAAACTTGTTTTACATTTACGTCATATGAACATCGACTTAATCTGACAGATTATGCATATGTTGTAAGGGATGATTTAACTATAAGGTAAAAACTTTCGAAGCTATTTCGCTACGGTTTTATTTACACATACTGATTGCGTTTTTACTAAATATTTTGGTTTTATTTTTCACTACCCTAATTCTAGGCTTTTGTTTGGACTGCAATTTGTTGCTGTAGCATCTCTCACTTACCTAGCATTCCATTTTCCCATCATTAATGTCGTTGTTTCATGTTTATGCTGTTACCCAATTGGTCTACTGTATGGTCTGGTCTTGTACGTATATGAATGAATGTCTGAAATATAATAATGATCCTGGACTGGCGACCATTGCTTTTGCGTCCCTCTACGTTTAGGGCTAATTAGTATTGAGCCAACCATCAGGCATAGAGTATCAGTCTCCCAAATGCTTGTTGCGTATTGGTTACTTAAGATCGTCTACCCGTATTGGTTGATTGTAGGACGTAACAGTTGACAACCTAGGCTATGAGACAAATATACTTAAAGGGATAGTTGTATTAAAGCATCACCCTTTGATTCGCCATGATTCCCAGAATAGGGTATTAGATACCAAACACTTGAGATACTTGGAACATTAAGGGATATGACTAGGACCGTGATGATTGTGTTCGGTAAGATGGACCTTCTGATTGAATATAATAAATTTTGGTTGTCTTATCACACAAAATGCATCCTTTAATATTGATCTTTCTTATTTTCATTGAGTGATTTGATGTTCCCTGTTTTTCTCTGATACAAATAAATGAATATCCCAGAACTGCTTCGAAAACACCCATGGTCAAACACTTATCACATACACGGGGTCTCTACTTTGGCAAACAGATGAATATCTTACTTGCAACACAGATGAAAAACGTGGGAAACACCAAGTGGATAATTTTATACCTGTCCTTCAAACTAATTATTCAAGGACATACTAGAGTTTGTTATGCCCTGAAGATGAATGAGTGAAGTTGAAAATAAATATTTTTTTTGCAATATTTGAATGAAAATACGTCGATCGATAGCAAGTATAGGAAATTGAGAAAAACAAAATGCAGTGATAATTCACCTGTAGCTCATCTGAATGGATTTCCGATGTTTCAAAATTTTGAGAACACCTGGCATGCGATTTTCTGGATATTGGCGACCAATGAATCAAATGTTGACGAAAGTGAGATTTCCATGATTTATTACCAAAATCACTAAAACTTCGGAATCGTTGTAAATCACAGATATGTTGTCCATCGAAAAATGCTACAGACCCAAAACAAGGTTCTGAAGAGGATTTATGCAATGAATTTGAAACATCACAATTAGTAAAGTAATTCTAAAAAGAAAAAAAATCATGTAGATTGATCAATTAGAATATCCTTATGTACTTGTACCTAAAAACAAAACTTCAAATCACATTAGATCAGTATGTTTTCGACAACGAAATTATTTTGAATGACCACTAGTTTTCCAAGATGGATGATCCCCTGGAGTACATTCAGTAACTTATATCCTCCGCTCTATTTCTAAAACGGTGCGAGCAAGCAGTTCTGATTCACCACCCCAAGTATTTCACATTAAAAATTCATGTCAAACAATCGCTAATATTCATACAAGGTGTTCATAAGATCTTGCATGTTTCCAGCACAGACAGGCACCAATCGATAAAAGGTTGGTGGTAATGAGAATCAGCTCTATCTGTGGGTCTATAATAAAACTTTTCCAGTAAACTGTCAGCATACAACATCAGATAAATAAAAATATGTTTGTTATGAAGGATGAATGAACTATCGACTGCCTAAATAAAATAAAGGAGTGCTGATCGATCGTTGATTTAGAGCATAGACAAGTACTCCAAGATTGCTTCTAACTACTAACGATACTCTTGAATATCTGGCAGTGACAGACGCTAATTCATTATGATCCCATAGATATAAAGTTGAAACAGGTGGTCATTATAATAAATTACAAGCAAAAACCACCATTTTCACTTCACTAGCACGACATTCAAAAAATAACTCAAAAAATGCAGTTGCACATGGAATCGCCTAAGAACTTGTTTAGTGAATTTACTGGCCAATACAATCCTATCCATAAAACTCAGATCCCACAGTTCTAGTAATCGGAAGATGAGAAAATGAATATCATAGATACGTAGAAAGCATGTCAGTTTCTTATAAAATCAATCACCAAAACCGTGAACAGACAGCCAACAACTAGGATCTATTTCAAAAGTTTTACGCCTAAAGTATATATATATATATTAGAAACAGTATGCTATTATGATTCGGAAATTCAGAGACATTGACGAAGATTGTATTCCATTCAAAATGGAGTTTTGGATGTTTGAGATTTCAACATCCTCTAAACTGACAGTGCAATACTGTTTTGTACTGTGCATTTCGTGATTTCATTTCCCGTTTTGAACCATATTCACAATGTCTAGTTTACCACCACTAGTGGTATTACCATTTTCACAACCTGACCTTCAATCTAGTTCCTTTACTTTTTCTATGCTGCAGTGAAGTGTGATAACTTCTACTGACACTATTCCTAGATTGTTTGTGACTGACTGCTAGTAGTGAAGTCTTGATATTTCACAAGCTCAAATTGTTCGTGACGAAGACAAGGTGGAGCATTGCCGAAGATACGAAAATGAAGCAAGTTAGATATTTGTCCGTGACTCAATAATTGAAATCAAAAAGCTCCGAATGACTGTTCTGCTTGAGCTAGATGCTACAAGAAAAAGGAGTGTGGACATTTTTCGTGAGTCACTGACCTTATTCAAAATCAACCAGCAGCAACAGCACAGTGAGATGGAATTTTCAGGGGAACTCTTCGAGTAGTAGAAATAGCAGCAGTATTAGTGGTAATAGAGATTGGGGGTCGAACATACGACTCGGGAATAGAAGTGAATTACTGGAATAAAATGTTTCTATGGTACTCAGAATCTTGAGATCCAAGGAAAAACTAGGAGTAAATGCACGTGCGTCATTGTAAATGGTTCTCCAACTATCAGTTACCATCATGGAGAGGATCCCAGCCAAATAGTCTTCACAAACTTACATAGTTTAACCCGACAGTTAGTGGTCTCATGGGCTGTAGCCAGATCTTGGTTTAACCACCCCTTGTTTTCTTCTAGACTACTCCTACACCAGACGTCACCCATCGAGATAGTCGATGGTTGGGCAAACCTAATACATGTTGTGACCATCTCAATCGATGAAGATTCACTATCCCGTTAACGGATTCATCATACTTACCTATTACTCTGCGTCTAACCTCAGAATTGCTGACTCGATAGTTGCAAAATACACGAGAAATAATTCCAACAAACCTATAATCGAATAGTAGTAACCCAAGAACATCCTCCTCGCCTAATGTCTATGGTTCACATCCATAAAGTAGAACGAAGCAAGCTGTTGCGCAGTGAACGTGTCCTGTAGTTTTCAGACGGATATCTTGTCTACGCCACAAGTGATGCAAGTTGACGAAATACAACCGAGCCCTTTGAATCGATGCAGACATTTTACGAGCCCTAATTAAGTGTTGGATAATTATTGAGGTCCATATTTTAAACGAAATGTCAGTCAAACTGTTTTCTCTGTGATCAGCAAAAGAGGATTTTGCCCTCTATTACAGACTGAAATGATCAGAGATTGAGACTAATTAGATGAGATTAGGTCTAGACCCCAGACTCTAGCTAATATCTCCGGCAATGTAATAGCCAAAACTGGGTCGTTGTCCTTAAAAATTGATGTCAAGTAGGGAATTATGAGTTTGTGGTTTATTTATTCAACATAGTATATTCATGAGTACTGTTTAAATACAGGTACAAGAAACAAGAAAGCATCTAATATGTTTCCGCGAGTTACTTTTTTATTTATTATTTATTTGAGCACGTAAATATTGGTACAAAAGAGCACTGAATACGTACACGTCACATAAGTCACTTGATTTGTGTGTGGGCTGAGATACTGCTCGGCGGCACAGACCGAAGCATGTGGTTTCCTTAGGGGATCACACCCGGAGCCTTCGATCTAAAGGTCTAATCCACAAGGCAGTGATCAATGACTGGTTCATACGCCATTTGTTCCCTCAGGATGCTGGAGCCCATGTGCACCATTGGTTTGGAATCAGGGTTTTCCAGCTCCTTTAGGTAGACCCTCAGTGTCCACCAACCCGATTAAAGCACAGGACACCCTCGCCACGAGAAGGCAGTGAGTAGGACTTCCCTGGCAGTGGCTGTATACATGTGGCCATGTGAGAGCATTTCGAGAGGGAGAGCGGACTCTCCCCACACTCGACCGTACCAGGGCATTTGGGGGATTGTTTTATTAGCTACACAAACGAATTAAAATTGACTTGTACGGGGGCTTTGGGAGATTGTTGAGTGGTATTAAGATCAAGAACCCACCCGGTTTACGGGACCATCAAAAAGCTGGAAGCACTTGGGAGCTGTTTCTTTCTTCCATGAGATCCCTCAGCAATGCATACCCACGAACCCACATGGGGTCAAAAATTATTTAGTAAATATCACTCTCAAAAAAAATCGCTAAAAGTAGATGAGAACTGTATGAGATTAAAGGAAATATTACTGTTCGGATATACATCGGCAGGTGTACAGAATAATATTTAAATGCTTCTTGACATGAAAACTATGGCGACGAGTTTTTCTAACATGGCATAAAAAATAACAAGAAATGTATTGCGTCCATGATTTGACCGTTCAATATATAAACGAGACACTAAATCCTTCAAAAGATTAACGAAAGTCGTATGACCAGGTAAATAAGGGAAAAAAATTAGAAGTGCTTGGTTGATGGTCAAAGCTAAACGACATGGAATCGGTCGAGTTCCCATCGTTTAAGTGCACTTAAGTTTATACACTTAGCATGTGACAGAGATTATGGTCTTCTTTGGCTGGAACCAAACGTTGTTAGGTGATTAAAACCAAATTCAAGGACTACAGAACATTAAAACTAACACTCCTATAACTAGCTTGAGAACCAGTGTTACAATGAATCACACATTTATGTGATTCATTTCAGTATTCAGATACCATCTGATCAAATTAAAGGAGACGAATTATAGCTCTGACAACATACGGAACCACAATATTAATCAACGAAAGTTAGACGACATAAATAAAATATACAAATAACGCTACTTTTGCTGAAGATAAACACTGGGGGGAGAAACACGTTTTGGCATCGTCATCGCGCGAAGTCAATAAGCGTTCCTCCAGAACCTCATGAGTTTTATGTAGGATAGGTGTATCTGTCTAAAAAGCACAATAAATAAATTAGTTGTACGTGGAAATAGTTAAATTCGAAGTTTACGAAACTCTACAAAGCCGAGTGCTTTCAAATACACTCTGCTCTAAAAATTAAATTCTGTTGGCAGACACAAACATAATAACGTAACACTGTAATTTTTATATTTATTCAGACACAATCCTTGTGTTTTATTTCTTATTTTGATGAACCTTTTTAACTCTTTATTTATATGCACCCTTGCTGTAAAAAAAACACAATATTTATTCATTCTTACTGTAAACACTTTCAGAGAAGCATTTTACCATGCTGTGTCTATCACGAGACTAAATAATAGTAACTCATGTGATTTTTAATTCTTGTACAACACATTAACAGTACGATGACAGACTCGAACAGGGAGTGTAAAATCTAATGATTTGTGGAGTAGACTGTCGAAATAACTCAGATAACTCAAAGAAACTATTATCAAGAGATCAGGATTTTGATAGGTTTGAAGCTATCACGAGTTCGATTAATCTACGAACGAGAACAAAGACTCAGTGGCCAAAGACCAGTAAGCTAGCTGTTTGATGCGTCCCAGCCCCGCTAACTAGAGGGAGAAGTCCAAGCTTGGAATGGGAAAGTACATTCTGCAAACAGCCAAAAACGAGCGATCCCACAAACACTATTCAAAACGTATATATATATATATATATATATATATATATATATATATATATATATATATATATATCAATTATATGTATATAATCGATATTGCCATGGAAGTTTTTCTAAACATTGAGTCGATAAGTTGATCAATCGACTGCCATTGAAATATTTAAAAATCTAATTGCTAAGAATAGTTTAGTTAACTAACTATTATACGGTAAACTATACGTATAGTATTGGTCCACAAATGGATCCCAAAAATTACCACTCATTATTCTTATCGTGGCATAACAGATTTAGATGTTGTTTTACTGTTCGTTATCTAACTACAAGTCTAGTCGAAGATAATGGTATTTATTCTTATAGTAGATTTATTTGAATGTTATTATTTTACTATTTATTTATTTCAACACATAGATAATGGTACAAAGAGGCACCAAATACATATGCGCCACACAAATCTCATTCGATATGTGTGAGGGCTGTGATACTGCCCGGGTGCCCAAACCGAAGCAGGTGGTTATCTTAGGGGGCCGCTCCCCGAGCCTTCGACCTGAAGGTCTGATCCACAAGGCAGTGGAGCATCGTAAGGAGATGCAGTCCCATGGAAGCCGGTGACCAACAATTGGTTCATACGCCATTTGTTCCCGCAGGATACTGGAGCCCATGTGCACCATTGGTTTTGAATCCGGTTAAAGCGCCGGACATTCGCTTTCCGTCCTCTCATTTTCGTAAACAACACCCGCGCCACGAGAAGGCAGTGAGTAGGAATTCCCTGGCAGAGGCTATATACGCGTGGCCGTGTGAGAGCATTTCGAGAGGGAGAGCGGAATCTCCCCACTCTAGGCCGTACCATGGCATTCGGGTGCACCAGGGCATTTACTGCTTCTTAAGTGAACAAAACACAATTAATTCCCGAATACTTACGAAAGCCAGTTCAGTTGTCAGCGAGATAAGTTGGCCAGGAGTTCGGTAGTATTGAAAAGGTAACGGAACGACAGATGGTGTATTCAAAACGTCACTTGGCTGCAAGGCTATAAAAGTAAACACAAATTGAAGGGCGGTAAAATAATTGGGAAGTAAAACTCAAATAACACGGGAAAACCGAGAAAGCTTACCAAGTATTCACAGATGGCTATTGGAGGACTTTTTTATGGGAGTTATGTAGCATCTCAGGAAAGTGATTTATTTCCGTCAAGCAGTAAACCCGGAGAGATCAGAGATGACAACCGGACCCCACACATACACAGAGGGACACTGAAATGTCATAAAATACCCAACCAAGTTATAGCAGCACGTTTAGTGGACAGATCCCTTTTGACGAAGCAAAACAAGAGTAACAAGAACTGACACTCTTTTGAGCAGAAGTAACACCGGTTTATACTTTCCGAAGAAATTAACCATAACTGATGACCCAGATACGTTAGAAATACAGATGTGAAGTGTATTACTAACAATTCCCACATGATGTGGTTAAAAGACTTCTTAGTTGAGCGCCAACAAAGAGTAAGGGTGAACTCAAAGTTATCTAGCTGGGGAACTGTGCTTAGTGGAGTGCCCCAGGGTACAGTTTTGGGGCCAGTGTTATTCCTCTTGTATGTGAATGACCTTCCTCGTCTCCTATCATCATCGGTCTTGCTATATGCTAACGATGTCAAGATATGGAGAACGATACGATGTAAGAGTGATAGCTTAGAACTTCAAAGTAACCTGAAGAAGTTATCTGAATGGTCTCAAACCTGGCAGTTGCCGATAAATACTTCCAAGTGTGTTGTGATGCATAAAGGTCATCAAGGTACAGATACATACACGATGAATAACACTGAGCTACCTGTCGTCCAGACATATAATGACTTAGGAGTTGTCGTTAGCCAAGACCTAAAGACTACTGCACACTGCCGTGCAGTAGCCGCCAAAGGTGTTAGAACCTTATGGTGAATACGTAGGGCTCTAAGTCATGTTGGCGCCAAGACGTTTTTGACTTTGTATAGTGTTCGTAAGTCCTAAACTTGAGTACTGCATACAAGCGGCTAGCCCCTGCTTAAAAAAAGACAGTGAGCTTGTAGAAAAGGTTCAGAGAACGGCGACTAAGCCGATTCCTGGAATATCGACGGTTCCGTATGAATCTCGACTGGCCAAGCTGAACCTTTTCCCGTTGTCATATCGCAGAACTAGAGGCGACTTGATTACAGTCTTCAAATTGCTGATTGATAAATTTGCACCCGACATGCCCTTACTTTTCTTGTCTTCCAAAACAGAGAATTTACGAGGACACTCCAAAAAAGTTCATAAGCCTAGAACAAATTACTTGTCAGCTGACAATCGACTTTCCCACCGAATCATCAACGAGTGGAATTCATTACCTCAGCACGTGGTTTAGGCTCCATCCGTCGACTCTTTCAAAAGAAAGTTGGATCAACTGACAGACCACGATTGCCAGGACTAACACAGGCCATCAAGCCTTCTGTCGTTTAAAAACTGAAACTGAATGTCCGTTTACGAAAGATTTCCCTTTGCCATAACGTTTTGGTGTATACTTCTTAAAGTATAAAACATTTGGAAAAACTGATAACTTATATGAGCTAAATTCGATGAAATAGACATTACCTCAAGAGAGATAACAACAGAAAAAGGCTGCCTTCTATCATGATGACATATTTACCATTCAATGAATAATGCTTGACTGTATTGAGACCCTAACTTTCCGATATTTCATCGACTGCTACATTTTTTGACAAATTTAATGTACTGTTATGGGCCTCTCCATAGAATAAATTTTGTGAAATTAAGATGAAAATGCGCTCAAAACAGCGTTGGTTTATTTACGAAAATCAGACATGCATCCAGTAGTTGGTTTCCGTTTCACTCTAAGCCTGTTCAAGTAATTATTAGACGTAAGATTTCTCTAATACGTTAGATTCTTATTCGTATAAGTTTACAGAAAATTTAACTTTGACTAGGATTAAGTACAGACCCAAAACTTGAGGATGAAAACTGTTTTAAAATAAACTTATTAGAAGTAGTGACTTCTAACAAAGAATTTCGAAGGATCAAAGCAGTTATTGAGAAAATCTTGCAAATGAGACAAGTTTAGAAAACTTACGACGCTTCCATGTTATAGTAGACAACCCAAAATCCGTCAGCTTTAAATGTCCTTTGGAGTCAATAAGTATATTATCCGGTTTAAGATCACGATGGATTATTCCATGTGTATGAAGATATTCCAAGGCTATTGCAATTTCAACAGTATAGATAGCAGCGTGAGATTCTTGAAGACGGCCCATAACCAGCAAAAGTGACTTAAGGTCACCACCGACGAGGTATTCCATAACCTGCAATTTCAGACTATGATAATAATGACTACTACCAAATATATGTGACTGGTGGTTTGCAAACAGTAGTACAAATGGACGATGTATGGACATTTACTAACTGCAAGGGCATTTCGCTCACAAGTAACTGCTGGGTAGTATTGATTAACAATCTACTTACCTTTCTCTACAAGATTTTTTTTCCTCATTTCTTCTTTAGACATTATTTTTATTGCGTATATAAGGTCAAAATTGTTTGCCTTAGCTCCTAAAAACACTTTTCTTTCAAGATTACACAGAAAAAAATCCAGTACCCAAAAGCACCTTTGCTTATAGGTTTTATCATTACGAAATCATTTATAGAAGGAGCCGAACTGTTTTTAGACATCTTTGGAACGCCCGCGCGACCTTTCGATGTGCATTTCCAAGTATTAAGAACAACGATTTACAATGCCCAATGGTTATACTGATCATGAGAGGAATAAGAGAGACGTTGGCCTACCTAACTTCTTTTTTTAATTACAATGAATCACTTATAGCTCAGGTAGGAACCTAGGTATATAAAATCAGTACAAACAGATGAAGTATCAGTGAGTCACTCTGACTCATGAATTCAAACTGTGAAAACTCTAAGATATGTTGAATTTTTAAGAAAATATCAAACGTTTCTTTCGGAAAGCTTGATGAAAAGTACTCCAACCCCCAAATAATGTGGGATTTCAAGTCCTGATTGCTGGTAAGGAATAGGATATTTGCTTATATGTTATATAGCATGTAACAGAATATTCTGTTACGTTTGACTTGTAACCAGTGAATGTTCAGTTTATAGTATCTGTTACATCGATGTAAGTGTCCCAGCAGATTTATGAGAAACTCAGTATTCTCCCGGATCAATGTAAAATAATCTCTCACCCTTCTATATCCCAGTGAGTAAAAATCCATTATTCTCAGGGGGTTTTCGTAAAGTATAGCACCTCTTACCATGCACCTTGGTAGTCTATTTCTGTCCACCCATTTGATATCATTTTAGCCCGATCAGGCACTTCCTAAATTCCTAGGGACCATGCCGTCTGTAACGCTCTTAAATACGTTATGCATGCTTTTGAGTGTTCTTGCTGTACGGTATGCGTTATGAGTCAACCACTGAAATTTCGGGCGTAGCGGTAAATAGATCTTGGGACTGAATAGTTCTGTATGTCTTCGACATTTACGTTGACCTTGTTTGCTTGACCGGACATACTCCAGCTGCAGGCACTTGGTCACGCATCCGCACCACATCACCTTTGAATAGATCGTTCCACTCATCCCTCTCAACAACTATCATACAAACCTATGAACAAACACTTCTCAATATGTCGGCAAATTTGAAATATATCTTCAAACTTCTTGGTTTCTCACTTCTGGTATTAACAAGGTTGGTGTCTTTTGGTTGTGATGTTGGTACGGATAAAAGCGTCTCATAACCATGGAAACCTATAGCACCCTCACCATGGACCTCAGATGTTGTTATTACTTACTTTACTTACGCCTGTTACTCCCAATGGAGCATAGGCCGCCGACCAGCATTCTCCAACAAACTCTGTCCTGGGCCTTCTCTTCTAATTTCATCCAACTTTTATTCAATTTTCTCATGTCTATCTCCATTTCCCGGCGTAATATGTCCTTCGGTCTTCCTCTTTTCCTTTGGCCTTGAGGATTACATGTGAGGGCTTGGCTGTGACGCAGTTGGGTGCTTTCCTCAGTGTGTGACTTATCCACTTCCAGCACTTCTTCCTGATTTCTTCCTCCACTGGGATCTGGTTTGTTCTCTCCCACAGTACGTTGTTGCTAATAGTGTCCGGCCAACGGATCCGAAGTATTTTGTGTAGACAACTGTTAATAAACATCTGAATCTTCTGGATGATGGCTTTTGTAGTTCTCCAGGTTTCCGCCCCATACAGCAGAACTGTCTTGACATTTGTATTGAAATTCCTGACCTTGGTGTTGGTTGACAGTTGCTTTGAGTTCCAGATGTTTCTCAATTGTAAATATGCTGCCCTTGCTTTGCAGATCCGCGCCTTTACATCTGCATCAGACCCACCCTGTTCATCAATGATGCTGCCCAAATATGTAAAGGTTTTTACATCTTCCAAATCTTCTCCGTCAATTGTGACTGGATTGGTGCATGCTGTGTTGTATCGGAAAATCTTGCTTTTCCCTTTGTGTATATTGAGACCTACTTCTGCTGAGGCTATTGCTACACTGATCGTCTTCTCCTGGATTTGTTGTTGCGTTTGGAATTGAAGGGCCAAAGCATCTGCGGAGTCTAGATCGTCTAACTGCATCCCAGATGTCCACTGTACCCCGCGCTTCCCTTCAGATGTTGATGTCTTCATGATCCAGTCGGTCACCAGGAGAACGAGAAAGGGTGAGAGTAAGCAACCTTGCCTGACAGTGGCCTTTACTTCGAACGAGTCCGTCAACTGTCCTCCATGCACAATTTTGCAGTTTAATTCATCTTAGAAATTCTGTATGATATTTACTATCTTCTGATTCAAGCCATAGTATCGAAGATCTTTCCATAGTGGTGTTCTGTTCAATTGATTATTCCACAATGATCCGTGGAGTTGCGATTTGGTCTGTACACGACCGATCGTTACGGAATCCAGCCTGTTAGCTTCAAATTCGGGCGCCTACGGACTCCTTCATTTTGTTTAACAATACTCTGTTGAAGACTTTTCCTGGTATTGAGAGAAGAGTGAGGCCCCTGTAGTTATCACACTTGCTGAGATTACCTTTCTTTAGTATCTTGATGAGGTGTCCTTCTTTCCAGTCTTTTGGTACTTGTTCCTCATCCCAAATCTTATTGAGGAGAATGTGGAGTATCCTTGCAGTTACCGTTACGTCTGCTTTCAGTGCTTCTGCTGGAATGTTGTCTGGTCCTGCTGCTTTGCCACTCTTGATTTATCTGATGACCATGCTGATTTCTTCAATTGTTAGTGGGCCAACATTGATTGGGAGGTCCGTGTGTGCTGCTTTGATATTGGGTGGGTTCAGTGGAGCTGGTCGATTCAAGAGTTCTTCGAAGTGTTCTACCCACCTGTTTTGTTGCTCTTCAATGTTGGTGATTACCTCACCTTCCTTGCTTTTCACTTGTCTTTCTGGTTTGCGGCGATTTCCAGAGAGTTTCTTTGTCTTGTCATACAGTTCCCTCATGTTTCCTTCTCTTGCAGCCTTTTTCGCCGTCGTTGCTATATCTTCCACATATTTACGTTTGTCGGTTCCGATGCTCCACTTCATCTGCTTGTTTATATCTGTGTACTCACTTTGTGCCTTTGCTTTCTTTGCTCTTGTTCGTCTGGTATTGATTGCTGGCTTCTTGTTCCTCCTTTCTTGATAATTATCCATTGTTTCAATAATGGTCCATTTCTTTCGGTGGTGCTTCGTGTGTCTCAGAACCTCATAACATGTTGAAGTGATCGTCTCTTTGACCCCTTTCCAGTTGCTCTCCATAGTAATTCCTTCTCCATTGAGTAGATCATAAAAGGTTTGGAACCTAGTGCTCAGGTCCTTCTTGAGTCTTCATTCTAAGCTAGCTATTGGTGAGAAGTAAACGGCCATCTAACTCTACGAGGGTTTCGAAAGCGATCAACTCTAATAAGTCCATGGCTTCAATGAAACTCATCAATCTTCAGGTCCCTCTGGTAACTGTTTCTTGTTAAAACTTTCGGATCAGCTTATAAGTAGAAACTCGATTGTACACTCTAATGATTTGGCATACATTTTTTATTTCACATTTATTATGGCTGCTTTGAAGCATTGGAAGATCAATCGGCACTTAAATCTGAACACTATGTCAGATCTTGACAAGTAGTTGAGATATGGCCAATTTACTGTCAAAGAAGCTATATGCCTCAAGAAAAACAAAAGATATTTAGAAGAATCATAAAAACATCTTCACAATAACACGGACCATCGAAATGGTGTGACTTATAAAATCAAGTTAGAGACTGAGTTCTACTCATCGTGCCATATCAATATGGTCGCTACTTCATCCTCGACGAAAATATAAAAGATGAACAAAAAGGATTACAAATGGATATAATGATCAATATCAAAGACAACATTTTATTATCATTAAGTATGAGGCATTTTGTATAGCTCGAACTGTCAGCTTCCTCTTGAATCATACGCTATTGAAGCATCACTATCCCATTGTTGATAATGGCTGATCACTTGTGTTATGTGTTACTCAGTTTCCATTTTCTTTACGTACACTTTGGGATTTTTTATTTATAGCAACTTGGTTGATACATTTATTTCTGGGATTTCAAAAATCTGAATGATGAAAGATGCATCAACTTCTTGTCATTCAGAGATAAGTACAGAAGAAATTTCACCAGACCAGTCAGTGTCCGCAAATAAAGCATCAGTGTCAAAAGAACTATGATTAGTGGTCAATGAACCACGGTACCGCGCTTTTCGAAGGGGAAGTTTAGTCCTAACGTGGTTTGCATTTATCAAACTTTTGCTGTGTTCTTACGCAACAAAAGTACCATTTCTGACTAAAAGAATCTATCCTGAGCTAAACGTTCGGTAGATTACTGATTTTCTTGAGTTTCGCCCCATTTAATAATTAACTGTGGTTTTGCCTCAGCTTACTATTCAGTTTTTTTTCCAGTTTTTCATGTAAAGACTAGTTCAGTTTATCTCATCCATTTTATCAATTTTTGTCCGTCTTCGGTGTGTTTTTTAGTGTATTTTTTACCGTCCTAGGCCTTTGTTGCACCCGCAACACAGTTTACGTCAATACAGTGATGAAAAATTCATGCAAACGACCTGAATGCCGTTTTGCTGTTACATCTGGCATGCAGTGCGTCAACTTCAAAGGTTGGTTCCACGAAGCGTGCACAGATCTCACAGCAATCGCTTACAACAGACTCAGCAAGTCGGATCATAAGTGGGAATGTGTAACGTGCAGCACGGATGCTGCAGTCTTGCTGAGTAATATCATTGTCCTACTGACTGGTCTACAGAGCAAGTTGTCGGCAAACTTGGGAAAAGACAGTAAAAAAATGGGTAGACAAACAAGGAAGCGCATTGAAAACGAGAAGAGGGATGTGGACAGGTCTACCAATGACGTAGCATGCAACAGCAATAATGATGACACGCTGAAACTCGGCACCATGTATACGACGACGGTACTGGACCCTCTCAGAAAACTCGGGTCTCACAGCTCAAGGTCCTTGAACGCGACAGTGGTTCCCAAAAACTCTGGTGATTGGACCCATGTCAAAAGAGCTAAGAAGAACCAGGCGTCACAGTCTAAGTTGACCATCCCAGCTGTTGAACGGAAGTCAACTGGTGATCTGGTCGCACAGTCTACTACCAAGATTTTCCGTACGGTCATCAAAGAACCAAGGATCCATAAACGTGCTTTGACCCCCAAACAACAAGGTGCTAAACCTGAACGCACCGGAAAACCTGGGACGACAATAACGGTTCGTGATGACTCTCTCATAGTCAAAGACAACCCTGATTTTCCTCTCAGTTTACAGGACAAAAATGATAGGATAATCTGGGGAGAACTGAACAAGAAACTTGGAATTTCAAGAATAGAGCTGTTGTGGATGCGGAGGAATAGACTAATAATTATCATGTTAAGTCCAATGGTGTCCTTGGACTCTAAAAGGACATTCCCTTTTGGTCGATATATGTTCACTTGTTGAGTATTGTACAAAATGTTGTTTTCTATTTTTATGATACGATGTGGTATGCTTGATTAGTATATAAACAAAGTATGTTTGAAATATAATGATTCATATCTCAGAGGCTGTGGCTTGTGTTCTGAACTCAACTAACTGGGCTAGACAGGGAAGCTCAAACCAATCGAGACTCTAGGCCGTCCGTTCGTGTTTACG